AGAGAGAGAGAGAGAGAGAGAGAGAGAGAGAGAGAGAGAGAGAGAGAAAGAGAGAGAGAGAAAGAGTCAGTCCACCCCTGTAGACAGGGAAAATAAAGACAATTATAGTTTGGTAGGGTCATCTCACGGATAAAAAAAAAATATATGTAAAGTTCTGATCTCACTCCCTAGAACTTACATAACAGCCATACGAGATGAAAGCTGAGGTATAGCCTCAAGTCTCTCATTATTTATACTATAAAATGCTTACAAGGACAGGAATTGGCACATGTATTTCACACAAAGAACTCATAAGTCAAAACTAGTAAGGTGCACTGGGAATGGCCCATGACTTAAAAATCAAACAACTATCAAAGAGACAGTGGGCATTCATGTGAGTCTTCTTACAAGGCAATGTGTGGATCAGAACCAAAGATGATGATAGCCATGGAGAGAGGTATCAAGTACCAACAAGTACTAGGCACATACAGTCACACATATAGTGCCTAGCATACCAAATATTCAAAGTTGAAAGAAAAGTTTTGTAATGGAAGTCCACTGCAATAATACTAGAAGGCAGTAGTCTGAAATTGAATGAGGCAATGAAAGATGTGTAGTTTAAATAACAGTACCAAAGTCTTGATGAATACCCTATTTTCTAAACACCAATCCTTAAAAATTCCTAAATTCCATGATAAATGTATGAAATATCAAAAAGTTCAAAAGTCAGTTGTAAAGAATTTCCCCTGCCTGGCAAGAATACTTTGCCTTGCATAGTTATTTGTAAGGAAACTAAGCTAAAAATTTAGTGGTCAAGAAGGCATTCTATACAGATTTATCATCACTACCTATATCAGAGTGCCTTAATTATATTTAAGGTGGGACTAAGTAGATGGAATTTCAAGAGTACTAAAATACATTTATGTCAAAAAGTCATTACCTCTAATCACTAGGTAAATCAACATCATGCAATAGTAATCACATTATAAATACAGTATAAAAGAATTACTGCAGGAACAATGGAACTGTTTCAGGTGTTCCTTATTAGCAAACAAGGAAGAATATTAAAATTCTCTTCTTATTATTTCTTTTAAAACCATCATGTATACTATATTTTGAACAGAATAAATATTAAAATTTGCCAAAAATAATCATGTTCTAATACACAATTCTTACAGTATTATAATAATAATAATAGCAATATTTTATTGAGCGCTTACTATGTGCCAGGCACTGTACTAAGCATCTTGTGTCATCTCGAGTTGCCAGCTAATAATGCAGGCATAGTCAACCCCATTTTATAGATTAGAAAATTAAATTTACAATAGTTAACAAACATGCCCACTGTCACACAGCTAGTAATTGGCATGAGAAAATTTGAATACAGGTCTGTCTAATTCTAAGACCTATCTCTGTGCTGACTTCTCATACCCTAAAAAGCCAAAGATGACCTTGCCAGAACTAAGTACCGTTAACCCAAACACAGAACATCCCCAGCTCAGAGAAGACAAGAAGTCAATGTCCAAATCCTCACTTGAAGTCACTTGTATTTCTCAAGAGTAGATCAAGCACCTACTCTGAATACTTGTGATGATGGGTTAACTAGCAATGCAAGGAAAAATCCATTGTCTCAGATACACTAAATTTATATTTAATTTTGTCATATATGTAACTTATGCTAAGGAAATTTTCCATTATCTCTTCACTTAACTTTATATTCCATAAAATACATATTTTCTATTCACAACACAATTATTTTACAATACTGGCATCAAAAATCACTAAAAGATAAGGATCCTACGTAAAGATCAGTGATCAGTATATTTCATGACAATGGCACTGTTCACAGATTCTTAAAAATGATGCCGCTGAAGTCCTTTATTAACTTTCATGTGGTGGCAGACATATGATCTAAACGTGCAAATTAAATAGGTTTCTCCCATGTTTTCGACTTAAGATTGTCAAGAGAAAGATCTTCTAAAATCAACTGCCAGCTTTCTAATTCATTCTATTTCAGCCGTTAAACTATACTTTCTCTCCACCTTTCTTTTTATTTTTCTCTGTGATTAAATATGTCTATCAAGAAGGAAATTTCTGTCTGTATACTTCTTTATATTCAGCTCAAGAACTTGCCCAAACCGTTATATGACAGAAACTGTATAAAACCAACTAAAATAAATGTCAAGCCGGGGAGATGGCTCAGCGGAGAAGAATGCTTGCTCTACAAGCATGGGAGCCCAAATTTGAATCACAAGAACCCACATTTAATAAAATAGGCTAGACTGTAACCCCAAAGATGGATTATGAAGTAGAAATAGGAGGATTGGTAGGTCTTTCTGGCTGCCAGCATAACTTCAGGTTAAGTTAGAGATTTCAGGTTAAGATTCGGTTAGAGATTTCAGGTTAAGTTTCAAGGGAATAAGTTGGAGGGTGATAGAGCAAGTTGTCCAATGTCCCACTGTGTCCTCCACGTCCACACACTGGTGTATAAATCTATACACATGTACAAATGACACACACACACACATCATACAGCAACATACATATTCATTTATATACCCCCAAAAGAAGTTTAATAGACATACACCTTTTAATTTGTGCAGAATATTCATAGTTTAAAGAAGAATAAGGATACCTACTTATTTGACAGGGTTGCCATTAAATTCTGCTTCTAACACTTAGCCTATACCAAATTATTCCACCTTCCTATAAGTTTGGCTGACTTTCAAACTGAACCAAATTAAAGTGTTCTAGAATTAATCACACTAAAATATATCACTTATTCTCACCCATGATACTTCTGAAAATTTAACTGAACATTGTCTTAAACAAGGATTAGATTTATCTCAGCATTTTAATCAAATGATCGGAGTCCTATATCATTGTTTTCTGTCATCCAAAGTCTGGATCAGTGGTTCTCAATCTGTGGGTCATAATGCTTTTGGCAAAACTCTATCTCCAAAAATATTTAAATAAATAGGATTAATAACAGTAGAAAAATAACAGCTATGAAGTAGCAATGAAAGTAGTTTTATGGTTGGGGGTCACCACAGCATGAGAAACTATAATAAATGGTCGCAGAATTAGGAAGGTTGGGAACTACCAGTCTAGATAGTCCTACGCCATTAAAATAATGGTCAATATTTTACTTTATTACTTTGAGTTTTTAGTTGATGAAATTTTATTTAAAAATTAGTTTCTTTAAATCTGATCAAATTAAGGAAAATAATAGCCAAGGTGGTAATATCAATGCATGGGAAAGTTATCAGATTCTAATACATACACACACACACACACACACACACACACACACACACTCCTCATGGAAGCTGTTTTCTTCATTAAACAGTTGACTATGTTTGCTTTTTATTATATATCACTTAAACCTAACTTTCTTTTCTGGGAGTCTAAAAAATATAAAGCTTGAATTACAAGCACATTTTTACAATGCTGGGGAGTGAATCCTGTGCCTCTCACTTTCCAAGCAATGGTACTATTGCTGGAGTGTATCCACAGTCCAAACAACCACAATTTTCAAATAATATGAACATAATTTAACACTACTATTTACCCTGGCCTCTTTATAAAGGCTAAGATACTCACAAAGTCAACCAGTAAGTTGGATGCAATTTCTCTAAACGTGACAATGTCAGACTTAGAAGGACCTTAAAGACCAAGAGAGTGTATTCTCATTTGGAAGCTATGAGAAGTATGGAGTGACTTTGAATAAGACTATCCATTGGACTAGTGACAGAAGAAATACTAAATTGGTCATATTTGCTCTGTTTCCTGGGCCCACTGCTATTTCTCTTCTATTTTCATAGCCTAATTTCATTTCACCTTAGAGCAGCACTTTGCAGCTAGGGCTGTAGACAGAACCACAAGTTGTTTTCCAAATATATAAGTGCTGGCCCTACTGCCAGGAACACATTCCAGAAATTCCCTTTCCTAACTCCAAAACACAGTCCATGCTAAGAATATCTGTGAATTAGAGCAATACTCAAAAACACTGTGACAATACTAGGTAGGTCCACAATACCCAACAACGGCCTTTCAATCCATATTTGCTTCTTCTAAGGGTGTTGAGATCGTGGGCCATCTCATTCACAACTGGGTGAACAAGGCCTTTAATACCGTGGCTCAAATGCAGCACTTAGTTCAATTACTGAACACATTTTGTGCATCTTAGGCTATACTAAACTTCTCTCTTTGGCAACTTCATGCCAAGATTTATTCTTCTTCCCTTCTCTATTCAGACACTTTCACATCATTATCATCTACAATCAGGGTGGGGTGCTCAAGCTATTTAGAAGAGATTAAGCAATGCTAGTCAAACTTCCTGTCTATTTCCAGAAAAACTATCCAACTGACTTTAAAATAGACAGCAGGTGAGAATGTGTGTTAGTAGCTAAAAGACCAGGCAGGGTCATCATATGCCTGTGACAAAATAATACCTGGGCGTCTTACCTCTAGTTTTGTGATATTTTCCCCTCGAGTAAATCTGCATAGGAAATTTGAAACATTCAAAATTCACTTTAATACATTTTAGTCAAATAATGAGATTCTGAAGGTGGATTAAACACTCAAAGTAGAATTCTGCAATACCTTCTGGGAAGAGGAACTATCAGAATCCCTTTTTTGGAGAATGCTCACTATCTCAGAACAGTAGAGGTAGAATAAACATGAGAACAGGAAGGAACTATGAAAATGAACTATACTATGAACTATACTAATTCTTCCTCCTTGATTAGGTACCAATACAAACATAAGAATTCATTATAAATGCACTGCCTCTCAGGATAAGCCAATACTTATCTTGCAAACTGCCACACAACAAGTGAACTTATGCCAAAGTTTTCCCTCTGGCAAGATATCAAGTTAGATATACTCACAATTTAAAGAATTTCAGGATGAAGAGGACAATGCACAGATAACAGGCCCAGCCCCTCCCACTTTGCTAGGTTTTAAAATGTGTTCCAGAAACCCTCACACTATGCATGCCAGAGGAATTTAAGACCTTTGTGGTAGAGTAAGAGACAGAAAGGAGCAGTGTAAAAGTCCACGACAAACTCGTTTGGTGACAGAAACAAAACACCAAAGAGCATTTCAGTGATATTTAACAAACTTGACATGAGCAGTTGTGGTTACTTTGCAATTAACTTTCTTTTCTTCTCTGTCCTCATGGTGAGGATAACAATGCACCTATGAAAATGCTGCTCATGACAACAGAGGTAAGGGAAGAACAGAGAAAATCAGAGTCTGCTGCGGAGTATTCGTCGTGGTCTTCTCCACTTTCTTTCTCCGGCACATGGATCACCAAGCGTATCATCAGGACCACCACGGAGGATACAAATCCCAGGTTTCACCTACTGGTGTGTGGCGTTGTTTAGAGGACTGAGTAGATTGTCGACATTCTTTCTCCCCTGTTAAATAGAGAGAACAGACTTACTGACCTTGGTTGATACAGATTCATAGGGCTGTGTGTTTTCACATAAGCCTCTCTGAAGGGCAGTATGTATTCTACTGAAGGAACTCTTCCTGCCTGGTGATTTGATATGCACAATTCACACTTTCATTTTCCTTTGAGTTTTTGGATGCTAGACTAATTTTTAATCAACATTTGACGTAAACCTACCTGTAAAATATTTCTCAAGTTTATTCTCAGGATGAGAGTCAACAAATCAGAAATATCACTTAACTCCATCTCTTCAAACCGTCCATGACATAAACATTTTATCCAATGGTACATTTGTCAATTTCTTCTATAACTGGAGGAAGACACTCAGAATCAGCAATAAACTCAGTCTGAAACTTCTGCCAGATTCCACTGGCGGCTGAAATTTTTAATTTCTCTTACTTATTCTCCTCCTGTTGTTGGGACGAGTGAAGAAAACTCTCTGAGCTACTTTCATAGAGCTGAGTAGAGCACATCATGAACAATGTGGGGACTGAAGGAAAAGAGCTGTTGTTGGGAAGATGAACATGATTTGCATCCAAGGACCAATAGTCACTATCATACTTTTTCCAGTGGTGACATTTCCCCAAGTCAACTATACTCAAGTCAGTATCATTCTCATGTAAGTACTGATTAACCTCAGTAGACTATGCACTGAAGGGCAATTCACAAAGAGTTTCTCAGTTCCCCTTCCTTGGTGGTTCTCATTCATGTAGACATAAACGAGTGACTGATAGTCTCTTTTAAAAGAGCAAGTATTTTGGAATTTGAAGTGACCAGAGTTTAAGAAGGATATTACCAGAAACATTGGAACAAAGTGTAATTTTGACAGTACCCTTTCTAGACTTGAGGATACTGATCGTTTTCTTCTTCTTGGCGATAAACACTCAAGTTGGCATTGGCTTATAGATGAAGAGCAGCACTTCATCTGTATTGTTCAGGCAAACTGCCATCTCTTATATCCATGTTGTCACTTTCAGGGTGCTTGGCAACAACTTCATGACCTACTTTCTCTGTCTGCCACCTTTTCCCATGCAGTCCTAATGTTTCTTAGTTTTATCTGACCACCCATTCCTTGAAATGAATAGTCTAAAATTTTATCTAGATATGAAGGTAAATTTGGATTCAGGGATGTTCATCAACAGTTTATGCGAATGGAAAGAGGACCGTTCAACCTCCATTTTAGAAGTTACAAACATAAATAAATTTCTATTTTTTCTGTTTCAGGATTTCATGTTATTTGTAATTTTTCTAGGGATTCCAGTCTGTCATTCAATACACTTGCCCTGACCTTACCCATTTTTCTTTACTTCACAAGCCTGAGATTCAAAAACAACAAATATTGCCATACAGAGGTTTCGCTTTTGTCATTATCAAACATTTTAAAACACTCATTTAGTTTGCTCTCAACATCATCTTTCTTGCCCTGTTTAATCTTCGTGCTTTTCCGTCATCCATATTTTTGGGGTTTTTGCTTGAAAGTCACCTCATCCTGACTTATACAAATTTACAGTGATACAAGAGTGAAACTGCGGTGACATAGGCTAACAGCCATTTCTTGGAAGAATACTGCAGAAATAATATATATGTATATATATGTTGTCAATAGTTTATGAGAAAATGTAAAATTCATGCAGCTGGTGGGTGGTTATTCACTGCACTACTACATTTCCTTGTACGTTTGAAAATATGTTTGTGAAATAATTTTATGTTTCTTGACTACATTTTTGGTAATAACACATATTAGTGGCTTATCATCTTAAATGAAAAAGTATAATCAGATAATCATTGGAGAGAAATCACTATGAAATCTTCACACAGTAATTAGATGGCTAATGCTACAGAAATCATTAGCCTGAACTGACAGTATAGCCCAATAGTAGAATACTCATACTCACTCATTTAGCCTGAATTCTACCTCCAACACTTTTCTCTCTCTCTCTCTCTCTCTCTCTCTCTCTCTCTCTCTCTCTCTCTCCCAACCTTCCCACCTCCTCTCTCTTATCAAAGGTAAAAGATTCAATACTCAAGCCTTAACCAGAAACTTGCTTGTTTGAACATGAGAAGAGTTCAACTTCTTTTCATGTAATAACAGTACAGTAATAACAACTGCTTTCTATGTTCCATGGCAGAGACTTATAAAAGAAGGTAAACTGAGTGTGTAGGATGAAGGATTAGTAGATATTGAACTATATCACTGGGTAAGACTCCATTCAACCAGTTTTTAAATGATACAATATACTTTTATACATCAAAAGATTCACTTCCTATTGGAGTTTCATCTCTGTCCTGGCAAAGAAAATCTAAGTATTGTTAAGATGCTGAAGTTGTCAGCATGAAGACTAAGTGCTTTGAAATAAACTTCATGTTACCATATTTCTGTACTAAAAGCGCCATTACAAAGAGCCTGGAAGTTGTTAGGATGCTAAGAAATAAGGGTGTAATCAAGTACACTTGTTCTCAAGGCAAGTTCCCCAAGCTCATTGAAATTGACAAGGCTAAAAGCTTAAAGCCATTCTTATGAGAACAAGAACCCTGGCGCCCTGGGAAGGAGGACTCTTGACTGGCTGTTTTCTTTTGACAGGAGTTAGAGCTCAGACAGGCAAGAGAATAGCAGGGTTTTTTTCTCTAGAGACTTGAAGAAAGAACAAGGACTACTTTTTAAATACCACACCCTGTGAGGATTTGCATGAACAAATAGGACCAAGTTAATTGCTGCTGCTGTAATGAAAGAACATTGGCGGTTAAGGAATTTGCTTTTCTATAACTACTCAGCTCTCAATTTCCCTTTCAGAAGTCTTAAAACCCTACAAACATTTAATTAGTGGATTTAAAAACCATAAGCCTTCGTGGTTTTTTAACATTTTAAACTATAATACCCAGAAGTATAACTCACTATGAGGCTTCCATAAGGGATCTTATTTTTCTCAAAATTAGTGATGTATTAGTAGTTAGTGCACTACTAATAATAAAGATACCATCCAGCTGAGTTTTGAAACCAGAGTAGCCCCTTTAAAATGGGGTTTAAAACCCATATTTCATTTTAAAAAACCTCTCTGCACCTCTATGTCATACTGAGCCTCATCCTATACTCCCTGTCTGATAGTTCCTGGCCATTTCCAAGACTCAACATTAATGAACTCTTCCTTTTTTCCTTTATCAACATTTCTGCTAGGAAAAGAAGATTGCTACTACTCCTCAGAAGCCTTGTTGCTACCACCTAGCAGACCTCCTGCAAACAGGCAAAGGAGGAGATGGGACAACTAGATGTTGACCATGAAGGTGAAAGAGGAGGAGTAGGAGCAGCAGCAGCAGCAGCAGCAGCAGCAGCAAGCACTGCTGAAGCAGCTGGAGCAGCAGCCGCAGCAGGAGAAGCAGCAGGGATGCTGAGGAGAGCTATACACATTTTCTATAGCAAATGCTATTACTTGTTTATGCTCTCCTGTTCTTGTCACTGCTTTTGTTAGCTAAGCTAACACCACTTGAACAACACCTTCTCTACAGAGGCCCCTGACCACATGGCCGCTGGTCAACAAATAGCAATCCCAAACTTAACGGGTATAAGCACTCTACAACAACACTAGCTGTTCCTGAACCAGTTAGTTGGGGAGAGGGTCCCAGAAGACCACTGTTGTTGAAATGATATTCGTCCTGGGCAGAGGGAAAGCCTTTAAAAGAGAAAGATGAAGTGTGAAGAATGTCAGAAGTACAGGCACACTACATTCTAAAGGAAGTCTCTATTTGCCTGTCAAGATGCCATAGCATGCCCATTTTTATTCTATAATGCCATTGCCTCAAAAAGCAGGTGAAGCCGAGCATTGGTGGCACACGCCTTTAATTCCAGCACTTGGGAGGCAGAGGCAGGCAGATCTCTGTGAGTTCAAGGCCAGCCTGGTCTACAAGAACTAGTTCCAGGACAGGCTCCAAAGTTACAGAGAAACCCTGTCTCAAAAAATGAAACAAAACAAAGCAAAACAAAAGCTCACGAAATAATAACAAGAGCTCTGAAAAATAGACACCACGGCTGCCTCCTATAGCTGTCAGCTGCCTAACAGTGAAACTGTCAGATGACATAGACACACTCTTAGGAGAGCCCCTTTAAATCCTGGCATAATGCCACACATATGTAATCCCAGCACTCAGGAGGCAAAGATAGCAGGAGAGTAAGTCTACATGAAGTCTGGATTGCATGGACTAAGTAAGCAGCCCGGACTATGCAGCGTACCCAGCAAGATCTTGTAATTCTCAACTGCTATAAACTAGTCTAATGCATTAAGCTCTTGGTTAAACTTTAAAGAATCTAGAGATATGGCTCAGTGGTAAGAAGGACATACTGTTCTTGCACAGGACCCAGGTTCAAATACCAGCACCTATGTCAGGTGGGTCACAATTGCCTGTAACTCTAGATCCAGGGTGGTCTGATACCTCTGGTTTCTGGGCACACCTGTACTCAATGCATATACCACACACACACACACACACACACACACACACACACACACACACACACATATTAAAGCCTTAAAAATAATAAAAACAAAATCAAACAAAAAAGAACATACCTTGGCTGTTTAAAAATATTTACAAGATGGGTATGGTCACACATACCTGTAGTCTCAGCACAAGGGAAGAAAAGTCAGGAGTTCAAAGTTCAAGGCCATCTTCACCTACAATGTAATTTTGAGACCAGCCTGGGATACGTAATACCTGGTGTCAAACAAACAAACAAACAAAACCCACCACCACCACCACCACCAACAACAAAACAAAAAAGAAAAGAAAAATGTGTACCACCAATGTTATAACAATAAATGAAGTCATGCCAAAATAGAAAATGCAGAATAATGCCTGGATCCAATGCAGTCTATGGGTCTTTTCCATATGTTTCATGAAAATTGTACAAGTCATTTAGTATTGGAATAACATTCTACTAAATTTTCACATACTAACTAATTGTAATAAACAGAT